AGCTTCCTTTTGGTTTAGGCTTGGGAGGACACAGGTGTCCAGGAATTTTTCCATTTCTTCCAGGTTTACTAGTTTATGTGCATAGAGTTTTTTGTGATATTCTGTTATGATGGTTTGAATTTCTGTGGAATATGTGGTGATTTCTCCTCTATCGTTTTTTATTGCATCTATTTGGTTGTTCTCTCTTTTCTTTTCTATCAGCCTGGCTATGGTCTGTCTATGTTGTTGATCTTTTCAAAAAACCAGCTTTTGGATTTATTGATTTTTTTGAAGGGTTATTTGTATCTCTATCTCCTTCAGTTCTGCTCTGATCTTAGTTATTTCTTGTCTTCTGCTAGGTTTTGAGTTTTTTTTGATCTTGCTCCTCTAGCTCTGTCAATTTTGACGATAGGATGTCAATTTTGGATCTCTCCACTCTTCCCATATGGGCACTTATTGCTATATATTTTCCTCTAGAGACTGTTTTAAATGTGTTCCAGAGATTCTGGTATGTTATGTCTTTATTCTCATTGGTTTTGAAGACCTTCTTTATTTCTGCCTTCATTTCATTGTTTATCCAGTCAACATTCAAGAGCCAGTTGTTCAGTTTCCATGAAGCTGTGAGGTTCTGAGTTAGTTTCTGAATTCTGAGTTCTAACTTGATTGCACTATGGTCTGAGAGACTGTTTGTTATGATTTCCGTTGTTTCGCATTTGCAGAGGAGTGGTTTACTTCCAATTATGTGATCAATTTTAGAGTAGGTGTGATGTGGTGCTGAGAAGAATGTATATTCTGTGGATTTGGGGTGGAGAGTTCTGTAAATGTCGATCAGGCTTGCTTGTTCCAGGTCTGAGTTCAAGCCCTGGATATCCTTGTTAATTTTCTGTCTGGTTGATCTGTCTAATATTGACAGTGGAGTGTTAAAGTCTCCCACTATTATTGTGTGGGAGTCTAAGTCTCTTTGTAAGTCATTAAGAACTTGCCTTATATATCTGGGTGCTCCTGTATTGGGCCCATATATATTTAGGATCGTTAGCTCTTCCTGTTGTATTGATTCTTTTACCATTATGTAATGACCTTCTTTGTCTCTTTTGATCTTGGTTGCTTTCAAGTCTATTTTATCACAGATGAGAATTGCAACTCCTGCTTTTTTTTGCTCTCCATTTGCTTGGTAAATCTTTCTCCATCCCTTTATTTTGAGCCTTTGTGTATCCTTGCATGTGAGATGGGTTTCCTGGATACAGCACACTGATGGGTTTTGGATTTTTATCCAACTTGCCAGTCTGTGTCTTTTGATTGGTGCATTTACCCCATTTACATTTTGGATTAATACTGTTATGTGTGAATTTGATACTGACATTTTGATGCTAGCTGGCTGTTTTTCCCATTAGTTGATGTAAATTTTTTATTTTGTTGATGCTCTTTAGCATTTACTGTGTTTTTGGAATGGCTGGTACTGGTTGTTCCTTTCTATGTGTAGTGCCTCTTTCAGGAGCTCTTGTAAAGCAGGCCTTGTGGTGACAAAATCTCTGAGTACTTGCTTGTTTGCAAAGGATTTTATTTTTCCTTCACTTACGAAGCTCAGTTTGGCTGGATATGTAATTCTGGGTTGAAAGTTCCTTTCTTTAAGGATGTTGAATATTGGCCCCCACTCTCTTCTGGCTTGTAGGGTTTCTGCCAAGAGATCTGCTATGAGTCTGATGGGCTTCCCTTTGTGGGTGACCCGACCTTTCTCTCTGGCTGCCCTTAGTATTTTCTCCTTTATTTCAACCCTGGTGAATCTGATGATTATGTGCCCTGGGGTTGCTGTTCTTGTGGAGTATCTTTGTGGTGTTCTCTGTATTTCCTGGATTTGAGTGTTGGCCTGCCTTGCTAGGTTGGGTAAATTTTTCTGGATAATATCCTGAGGAGTATTTTCCAGCTTGAACTCGTTCTCTTCGTCCCCTTCTGTACACCTATCAAAGGTAGGTTTGATCTCTTCACATAGTCCCACATTTCTTGGAGACTTTGATCATTCCTTTTTGCTTTTTTTTCTCTAATCCTGGTTTCTTGTTTTATTTCATTGAGTTGATCTTCAACTTCTGATATTCTTTCTTCTATTTGGTCAATTTGGCTTTTGAAACTTGTGCATGCTTCGCGAAGTTTTCGTGTTGTGTTTTTCAGCTCCTTTAATTCATTCATATTCCTCTCTAAGGTATCCATTCTTGTTATCATTTCCTCAAATCTTTTTTCAAATCTTTTCTTAAGGTTCTTAGTTTCTTTGCATTGATTTAGAACATGTTCTTTTAGCTCACAGAAGTTTCTCATTACCCACGTTCTGAAGTCTAATTCCATCATTTCATCACAGTCATTCTCTGTCCAGCTTTGTTCCCTTGCTGGTGAGGAGTTTTGGTCCTTTATAGGAGGCGAGGTGTTCTGGTTTTCAGTGTTTTCCTCCTTTTTGTGCTGATTTCTTCCCATCTTCAGATTTATCCACCTGTCCTCTCACTAGTTGCTGACTTTTCGATTGGGTCTCTGAGTGGATGCCCAGATTGTTGATGATGAGGTATTTCTGTTACTTGGTTTTCCTTCTACCAGTCTAGCCCCTCCGTTATATGACTGCTGAGGTCCACTCCAGGCCCTGCTTGTTGGGGTACACCTGTAGCAGCTGCAGAACAGTGAGAAATGCTACCAGTTTCTTCTTCTGTTACCTTTGTCCCAGGATGATGCCTGCCAAATGTCAGTCTGATCAGTCCTTTTGAGGTGACTCTTTGGATATACAGGGGTCAGGGAGCTGCTTGAGGAGATGGTCTGTACTTTATAGGAGCTCAAATGCTGAGCTGTGAGCTCTGTTGTTCATTCAGGGCTGTTAGGCTGCTGCGTTTAAGTCTGCTGCAGCAGATCTCATAAAACCCCTTCTTTTCTTCAGATGCTCTGTCTCAGGGAGTTGGGGTTTTCTTTATGAGTGTCCGTTGCTGTATCCTGCCCAGCTAGGAGGCAGTCTAGTCACTATTTGCCTGCCGAGGCTCCGCCCTGTTGGCATAGGGTCTGCCCTGTTGCTGCAGGCTCTGCTTTGCAGCTGCAGTCTCCACCCTCCTGCGATGGACTCAGCCCTGCTGCAGAGTCTCTCTGTTATGGTGAGTTTTCTCGGCAATGGCAGATGCCCTTCCGCCACCGAGCTTCACCGTCCTGGGTTCAGCTGTGCCTGCAGTGAAACTCTTGACACGAAGCATTTCAAATCACTGTTTTCTTTTTCCCTGTGGGGGTGAAACCCACTGAGCCTGCTCACCTGGCTCCCTGCCTCAAAGCATCTTTTTTTTTTTTAAGTTGAACGGTTGGCTCTCTCCCAGTTGTTTCAGTCACCTGCTGTTAGGGCCCTTGGATCTATGTAATTTCCCATGCAGCGACCCACTGCACTGGCTCAAACGCCACTTCCCAGGAATCTCCTGGTCTGGCTCACTGTCCAAGTCTAGTTTAATCAAATGGATATGCTAATCTGCCCTCCCAAATCTCACATTGCTGGGTTAACAGGGCACCCAGACCAGTGTGTTTTGTGCGAAGTGTTGTGGAGTGCCACTGCGCTGCGGTGCTGGCCGAAGAGGCCAAAACAGCTGCGCTGGCATCCTGTGTCTCTCCAACACCTGGGAATTTCCCCGTTCTGTGGGCAACAAAGATCCATCTGGAAATGCGGCTTTGACTCACCCTCAGTGCGTTCACTGAGAGCTGCAATCCTGAGTTGTTTTTACCGTGCCATCTTGAATCCAAAACTTAATACCTATAATTTTTTGAAGCTGGAATGTCAAAATCGCAACTTGAATTTATCAAAGAACTGAAATATCAGGGCAACCAATTAACCCAGAATAAAAGAGAGAGACACTCCTCCAAGGACAGATGAAACACAAACCCTTGTTTACTTGGGACAGGTGCCAGATGCTATACCAGCCATAAGAAGAGCAATCAGCTAAAATTGTCAACAACTTACTAAAGGCTAGCATGAGTCTATAGAAGCCCTGGGAGTCATAGAAACAAGGAAATTCACGTCAGTCTCTCATCCCTCTTCCATCAACCTCACCAGGGTCTTCTGAAAGATTAGAGTCACAGATATAGACCAGATAAATCCTGCCTCATGATGTGGGCCTGAATATGAGAGCAGCTACTGCAAGGTAGTAAGTCCCAACCACACCTGTCTCCTCTACCTTCTTCCCTGTGTGATTTCTCTAGTGCTCACAAAAATGACTTGAGCTGTTTCAAGCTTTATACCTCACACTACACCATCCAGGACAAGAGGCAGGATCACTTTTCCCTATTGTCAAACACAAGAATCACGCATTATGTAAACAACGTCATGTTAGAACTGGTCCATAGCCATGAACCACCACTCTGAGCAAGCATAAGTGGGATCTATACAGTGGTTGGCTTAAATCCCAGATTACCTCCCATCCTTTAGCCTATCACATTGTGAAGGAGGAGTTCTCATGACTGTTTTAGGCTGATCAGCCAGATGTCCACTATGCAAATGTGGCAAGGTGGATTGAAACCCAAATGGGTTGGAATCAATCATATCTGACCCAGATAGAAAGACTGAAGCAGTCCCATTCTTTTCTCTCTTCTATTTAATATTTACATTTTCTTTTTTCCCATCACAACTTCATTTTCCCAAAATTTTCATATATGCAGCTGCTTCCAATGGCACCTGGTCTGCCTGCATGTTTCCCTTGCCTTGGGCGCCTCTTCTCAGTTTCCTAAACAAATTAGGGCTAAGTCCCTTTACCAAAGTTTAGCTCAAATAAGTTACTATACTAGAAAACTGAGAAATAACAAAAATGAAAATGGCACAACACAGAATCATGACAAATATTTGTTGAATTAATTCATGAATCCTAAAGCAATTGAAGTCTAGTGATGGATATCTTGACAAATACTTTTATTTGGGGTCAATAGTAAATCACCATTATTCAAAAATGTTACATTTGCTAATTTGCCCACAAAAATTTATGTGTAACCTCCCGACTCCCTGCTGTCCCTCCCCTAACCCCCTCCAACAGACCGCAGTGTGTGATGTTATTCTCCCGGTGTCCATGTGCTCTCATTGTTCAACATCTGCCTATGTGAGATGTTGAGAGAACATATGTGAGTAAGAACATACGGTGTTTGGTTTTCTGTTCTTGTGTCAGTTCGCTGAGAATGATGGTTTCCAGATTCATCCATGTCCCTACGAAGGACACAAATTCATTGTTTTTTATGGCTGTGTAATATTCCATGGTGTATATGTGCCACATTCTTGATCGGATCTATTATTGAGAGACATTTGGGTTGGGTCCAAGTCTTTGCTATTGTGAACAGTGCCGCAATGAACATACGTGGGCATGTCTCTTTATAATAGAACGATCTATAATCCTTTGACGATATATCCAGTAATGGGATTGCTGGGTCATTTTCTTTTCAGTGACACACTTGTACTATATCTCAGGCATCACGCACATGACTGTCACTCAAATTCTAATAAACTTGTTGAGTATTCTTCTGCTTTTCCAAAATGCAAATTATAATTCAGTAAATCTAAAGTGAGCTCCAAATTCGACCTTTCTATCAAGCTCCAATGTGATAACTCTGCTACTCATCTCTGAACCACTGAATAGTAAAGACTCGCATCCTGCCCTGCATACTTGGAACAGTAAATTAATCTAATAGCTCTCTATAGTTCAGTGACAGTAGTATGAGAGGCAAAATGGTGTTTCTCCTCTGGAGCTAAAACACTATAGAACTAGAAATGTGTAAAACCTCCTCCAAGTAAGAAGACTTTAGACAAGAAAAATATCAAATGACTGAACTGCTTCAAAGTACCAGGAGGGAAAAGAATCAGAAAAGACTACAAATTGAGCATACATTCAATAGTTTATGTTTCATGCAGGCAAGATCCTTCACCAGGAATACGTAGATTTAAAACACATTTACTTTGCATTGAAGGAGCTGAAAAATTAGAAGGAAAAGCAGCACCTAAATAACTGCAATGAAGGAGAGGAAGTGAAGAGTACAGTCAGCAAATACGGCTGAAATCTGGCGGGAGTTCAGAGCAGGGCGAGACTGCTTCCCACCTGTGAGTCAGGGAAGGCCCTCTGGAGGAAGGGAATCTAAAAGGGCCTGATGATACATTAGTGGTCGAGCATGTGAAGTTTTCTAGGACCCCATTCCATTCACAGATAAAATTTGAATTTCAAAGTCCCGAAACCCAGGTCAGAACAACAAATCCTCCAAAATTAAATTGAGCTTATATTGACAAATGATCGTTAAGCAGAAACAAGCAAATTAACAAGGAGAGTGGAAACGACGTCATCACCACGACATGGTCAGGTGTGTCCTGAGCCCTTGGGCTGCTGGTTTCTCATCCCAAAAGGAGAATGATGACGAGAAGGCTCATGATGTGTCTTAATAGAAACTGGATGAGAACAGAGATAGAAGTCACTCTGAATAAGGTAGAGGTGAGAATTGAGGAATAAGAGGGAAGGAGGCTGGGGAGAGAAGAACAGAGGAGAGAGAAACAAGAAACATGGGAAGACAAGTGGGGCGGGTGTAGGAGTAGGAAACACACATGCAAAGAACTCACCAGCGTTTCCTGAACCAAAGTGCAAGACACACTATCAGAAGAAGTAAAGGCACTATCACCGCCAAGATGATCAAGCCCACGGAATTGTGATGTTCTGTGAATTTGGGGAGATGCCAAGGATGTTATTTTAAATCCACCCCATTTTCCCTCATCCACTTCCTGTTTCACTGCATTATCCTGGGCTTCCTTTTTTCAGTTGAGTGTCCACCTTACCAATCTCCTTACATTCTATCTTTTCTCTCATCCCTGCTCAGAGATGGAGTTTTCATCTTACCCTCAGCATCCTCCTTTATCTACAGAGCCCTCATTTTCAACACTTGTATTGCTTAGATTACCTGTTTTTATTCATGTTGAGGTTATTATCCCAAGTATCCTAAACTTTTCAGCTTGCCCTCCCTCTATGCTGAGGACCACCTCCTGGCATTTCCAGCCTGGGCCCCAGCTCCTTCTCACCCCAGTAGAGGACGATGTCCTGGCCCTCTAGACTGCTGTGCTTCACCCGACAGGACAGATCAGCTGCCTCCCCAGCGGCCACCTCCAGGGTTGCTTGGAGATACCATGTTCCATCAGCATTGGGCAGGATGTCCCCTCGCTGAGTGCCCGGCTGTTCCTGCTCACCCCGCATCCACCTCACCCACACAGGCTTTGGGTAGAATCCTGAGACATGGCACACCAGCAGCAGATGGCCAGGGCCTGGACTGGGACCACGGGACAGCCAGGCCTCAGGCTTCACTGCAAAGGACAGAAGAGATATTCAGTTACAGACTTGGAGTTTCATATGACCACATCAGTTTAGAAGTTTACATATACACATCTTTCCCATTTCTCTTTTTATTGAGACAGGGTCTCTGTCACTCTGCTGGAGTGTAGTAGCATAATTATAAATTATAGCTCACTATAATCTCAAACACTTGTGCCCAAGCCATCCTCCTGCCTCAGCCTTTTGAGTAACTGGGACTACAGGTGTGCCCCCACCATGACCAGCTAATTTATTTTTATTTCTCAGAGATGGTGGTCTCACTATGTTGCTCAGGCTGGACTGGAACACCTGCCCTTAAGTGGTCCTCCAGCCTCAACTTCCCGAAGCACTGGGATTACAGATGTGAGCCACGGCTCCTAGCCTCTCCCACTTCTGGGAAGCTCCTCCTTATTCTGAATTTGAAGGGGGTGGAGGCAGGGTATGGTTCTCAAATCAAAAGTTCTTGGAGGAAGGGTATAGGACTGACCTTGCCGCTGGAGATGTGCCTTTCCTGCATCAAGAAGACCCAAGAGGAAACGTGGGCAGGTGTCACTGAAGAGATGGTGTATTAGGTCCTTGTTACGCTGAAGCTGATAAACTTTGCAGAGACGCTTGGCCGCATTTCCAGCAAGTGGAGATGGCAGGCATGAGTTGTTCTGGAAGCTCATGAAATCTGATCCTTGGTGAGCTACCTGAAGGAAGCTTCCTGAGAGCTTTCCAGAGTGCACCTCACAGCCTGCTCTTATCTGTATCTCAAAAGGATCTGAAGTTATGAATCAGAGGAAAGAGGGACAAAAAGCATAAAATGAAATGCGTAGAAGCAAAGATTGTAGAAGCAGAAGGGGGAGTCTTCAGGGTTTGAAGGGATGGAAAAAAATTTGGTTTGGTCAGGGATTCAGAGAAAGGGGAATTTGTGGGAGCTATAGGTGGAGGAAAAGATTAGTAACATAAGGAAGAGGGAAAATTAAAGACAATGATGTGAATGCTGTAGTTGAGGAAGGGCTTGGTGTAAGAGAACTGGGTTATAACAACTTAGGTTGAACGGCACGCAACGGGTTCCAATGAGTCTATGCAGAGACTGCTGAAGAGAATGAACCACAAAGTGAGAAAGCTGGAGGCATTTAGCTGTATTTAGGCAGAAAAAAGCGTAACCATGGGATACCTGTGGAAAAGGTAATAAAGCACAACCCTGCAATCAATGAAACAGGAGTTCATAAGTGGAAGAAGTGTTTGAAGAATTAGTGTCTGGATGATAGACCTTGCCCAAAAGTTTGCAATTGCAGTTTTATGGTGGGAGGAATAGAATACGCTACAGAAAAGAGTCAGGCCATTTCCTACAGGAATAAGGAACATTGAGACATCCCCTCTCTCCCAACTCTTCAGTCCCCATCGGGGAAACTGTATTCACATTCAAATATTAATTCACTGGTGTGTCTATGAACTGCCTCAGTAAAATGAATAAAGTGTATACGGAATAACGTATCCAGGTCCATCCACTCCTCACTGCTGAAGGTTCCCCTGGACCAGGGCCACAGGAAAATGATGGTGCTGGAATTGCTGTCCCAGGTGTGAGTCTGCAAATCACCCAGCCAACCTGAGCCAAGATTTCATTCCCAGGAATGGTTGTAAAAGGATGAGATTTGGATGACACGGAAGCAGACAGCCTCCTTGAACCCTGTGGTGAAAGTACAGTAGAATGTGAGACATTGAGAAACAGAATGGAGAGAGAAGGTGCCAGAGTGGGGATTCAGAATCTGGAGAAGAGGGGATCCATCATAATCTTAGCAGATGCTTGCTTCCCATGGTGTCCCATGCATTATCAAGCACCTTCCTTCATAAGAGCTTGGGGACCTGGAGACATGAACAGTCAGAGTGGAACCAGACTGGCACTCTCACGTTCCAGGTGTGTGCTAGGAAGTGCACACACACACACACACACACACACACACAGACATCATCCACCCAACTGGGCAGTTGTCAGAGTTCTCAGAGTTCTTACCGTCTGCATTTTCACCACCTGGGAGAACAGCTAGCAATGGAAGCAGCAGAAACAGCATGTCATTTGCAGATGTTATTTCCTTCTCTCACAAAAATTGGTCTTTGATTTCCGTTCCAAACAAAACAACCCCACAGTATCTCTAGTCTGACTTCTTTCTGCAACCAGCAGACAAACCTCCCCTGACTGCAACAAAGAAAATCCACTTTTTCACAAACCCGGAGACGCCTACTCAGTCTTACTTTTCCCTCTGGTTCTGACTTTCTTCTGTAGTTTTCAGCTTTTCTCCTTGTCACTAACTTCCAACGTGTTCACCTTCCCCTAATTCAACTTCTCTGGAACAAGTCTTACGTGGCATTGAGAAGCCACTTAACCACTAAGGACATTTTTTTTTCTATTCATACAATAAGAGCATAAAACTAAATGGCTCCCGGCGTGCTGCCCAATGTTCCCATGTCCCTGCGGTTTTGATCACTCTGTCCTTTCCAATACTTTCCCATGTATTCCCTTCCCTTGTCTCATTCCCCCACCCCAATACATTCATTTCTGGTTAAACATCAGTTTTTTGCTTTTTCAGAATCCCCTGTGACTGTCCTGTGTGACAGTATAAACTAACACCTTTTCTCCATTATTCTTGGAGAAGAGCCAGTAGCCATCACAAAAAAAAAAAAAACACAGGAGCACTAAAACATATGAAGAAAATGTCCTCTGTTTGATTTTCACTGATATACATTCACTGACCCAACAGTCTCTCTCAGCGCCTGCCTGGAGCCAAGGATCTTGCTACACCGAAGAATGTGAGAGCTTCATGGCTGACAACACAATCGCTATTTTTAAGGAGCTTTTACTGTACTTAGGAAGAAACACACGCCAACAATGATAAATCTTGGTGTACAGAGTTTTACTATATTTTATACACTCTCTGGATAAAAACTAGCCTGCTTGAAATAATATTTTCAAAACTGGGACTCTTAACTAATGTTAGCCAGCCCAGAATTTTAACTTCAGTGGTTGACTTGGAGTGTTGGCTCCAAGCCGTTATCATACTGTCTCCCGACCTAACTATGCACCTACCACTTGCCAGGTACTCAGTGAATGTTTGTCAAATGAATGAAGGAATTCAGTGTATGCGTTCATTTTTTCATTATGGAGGAGATATTTAACATAAAACTTTTTAAAGATATCATAAAGATTACTTGTAATCCTGTGTAGTGAGAGGAGACTCATACAGTTTTATTTAGGAGAAAAGTACAAGTAAACAAAAACCACATGATTATCTCAATTGGCGCAGAGAAGGCCTTTGACAAAATTCAACAGCGCTTTATGCTAAAAACCCTCAATAAACTCGGTATTGATGGAACGTATCTCAAAATAATAAAAGCTATTTAAGACAAACCAACAGCCAATATCATACTGAATAGACAAAAACGGGAAGCATTCCCTTTGAAATCTGGCACTAGACAAGGATGCCCTCTCTCACCACTCCTATTCAATATAATACTGGAAGTTCTAGCCAGAACATGCAGGCAAGAAAAAGAAATAAAGGGTATTCAAATAGGAAAGGTGGAAGCCAAATTGTCTCTATTTGCAGATGACATGATAGTATATCTAGAAGACCCCATTGTCTCAGCCCAAAAACTCCTAAAACTGATAAGCAACTTCAGCAAAGTCTCAGGATATGAAATCAATGTGCAAACATCACAAGCATTCCAATAAACCAATAGCAGACTTAAAGAAAGCCAAATCAAGAATGAACTGCCATTCACAAGTGCTACATAGAGAATAAAATACCTAGGAATACAACTAACAAGCAACATAAAGGACCTGTTCAAGGAGAACTACAAACCACTGCTCAACGAAATAAGAGAGGACACAAACAGATGGAAAAACATTTCATGTTCATGGTTAGAAACAATCAATATCGTGAAAATAGCCATATTGCCAAAAGTCATTTACAGACTCAAGGCTATCTCCATCAAGCTACCACTGACTTTCTTCACAGAACTGAAAAAACCACCTTGAACTTCATATGGAACTAAAAGACAGCCCGCATAGCCAAGTCAATTCTAAGCAAAAAGAACACAGCAGGAGGCATCACACTACCGGACTTCAAACTATACTGCAAGGCTACAGTAATCAAAACAGCATGGTACTGGAACCAAACAGAAATATAGACCAATGGAACAGAACAGAGCATCAGAGGCAACACAACATATCTACAACCATACAATCTTGGATAAACCTGACAAAAACAATAAATGGGGAAAGGATTCCCTGTTTAATAAATGGTGTTGGGAAAACTGGCTAGCCATGTGCAGAAAGCAGAAACTGGACCTCTTCCTGACACCATACACTAAAATTAACTCCAGATGGATTAAAGACTCAAACATAAGACCTGGCACCATAAAAATCCTAGAAGAAAATCTAGGCAAAACCATCCAGGACATAGGAGTAGGCAAGGATTTCATGAACAAAACACCAAAAGCATTGGCAACAAAAGCCAAAATAGACAAATGGGACCTAATGAAACTCCACAGCTTCTGCACGGCAAAAGAAACAGTCACTAGAGTGAATTGGCAACCAACAGAATTGAAAAACATTTTTGCAGTTTGCCCATCTGACAAAGGGCTGATATCCAGAATTTACAAAGAACTCAAACAGATTTACAAGAAAAAAACAAACAAGCCCATTCAAAAATGGGCACAGGATATGAACACACACTTTACAAAAGAAGACATACATGAGGCCAACAAACATATGAAAAAATGTTCATCATCACTGGTCATCAGAGAAATGCAATTCAAAACTACCTTGAGATACCATCTCATGCCAGTTAGAATGGCGATCATTAAAAAATCTGGAGACAACAGATGCTGGAGAGGATGTGGAGAAATAGGAACACTTTTACACTGTTGGTGGGAGTGTAAATTTGTTCGACCATTGTGGAAGACAGTGTGGCGATTCCTCAAGGACCTAGAAATAGAGATTCCATTTGACCCAGCAATCCCATTACTGGGTATATATCCAAAAGACTGTAAACCGTTCTACTTTAAGGACACATGTACACGAATGTTCACTGCAGCACTGTTTACAGTAGCAAAAACATAGAACCAACCCAGTTGCCCATCGATGATAGACTGGACTGGAGAAATGTGGCACATAAACACCATGGAATATTATGCAGCCATCAAAAACGATGAGTTTGTGTCCTTTGTAGGGACATGGATGAATCCAGAGAACATCATTCTCAGTAAACTGACACAAGAACAGAAAATGAAATACCGCATATTCTCACTCATAGGCGGGTGATGAACAATGAGAACACATGGTCACAGGGAGGTGAGCACTACACACTGAGTTCTACTGGGGGGAATAAGGGAGGGACAGCGGTGGGGAGGACCTGGGGAGAAATAGCCTGGGGAGAAATGCCAGATGTGTGTGAAGGGGAGAAAGACAGCAAATCACACTGTCACGTGTGTACCTATGCAACTATCTTGCATGTTCTGCACATGTACCCCAAAACCTAAAATGCAATAAAAAAATAATAAAATAAAAAAGAAAAGTGCAAGTTACTAGTGTGAGACTTATATGTAGGATCCTGCTATAAATTTCCTATGACTTATAAGAGACTAGTCAGAACTTGTGAGCAGTGAAGTTAATGGAGTTTTCCAAAGTCTGTATCCCAGGATCCCTTCTTATCAGTCCTACTTGTATGTTTCAGAGATGTTTTGTTATAAACATTCTCTGCTGAACAGATTTACATTCCTCTTTTATGCTTCTTTAACTGTTCAAGTGCTTCTAAATATATATGTTTGTTCTTTGTAGGTATCATCCATATAAATGTGTTTAAGCTATTTATTTGGGGGTTAAAAATATCTGAAATGAAGGCCGGGCACGGCGGCTCAAGCCTGTAATCCCAGCACTTTGGGAGGCTGAGGTGGGTGGATCACGAGGTCAAGAGATCGGGACCATCCTGGTCAACATGGTGAAACTCCGCCTCTACTAAAAAAAAAAATACAAAAAATTATCTGGGCATGGTGGCGCATGCCTGTAATCCCAGCTACTCAGGAGGCTGAGGCAGGAGAATTGCCTGAACCCAGGAGGCGGAGGTTTCGATGAGCCGAGATCGCGCCATTGCACTCCAGCCTGGGTAACAAGAGTGAAACTCCGTCTCAAAAAATATATATATATCTGAAATGAATAAGTGAAATAAAAAATTCTCGAGACAGGGTTTCACTCTGTTACTCAGGCTGAATTGCAGTGGGATGATCACAGCTACTGTAACCTCTAATTCATGGCTTCGAGCAATCTTTCTGTCTCAGGCTCTCAAAGCGCTGGGATTATTGGCATGAGCCACCATTCCTGGCCTGCAAATAATTATTTTTTTTGAATCAGAATCTCACTCTGTCACCCAGACCGGAGTGCAGTGGCACGATCTCGGCTTACTTCAACCTCTGCCTTCTGGGTGCAAGCAGTTCTCCTACCTTGGCCTCCTGAGTAGCTGAGATTACAAGCATGGGACACCACGCCTGGCTTACTTTTGCATTTTTAATAAAGACAGGGTTTCACCATGTTGGTCTCGAACTCCTGACCTCAGGGGATCCACCTGCCTCAGCCTCCCAAAGGGCTGGGGTTACAGATAATTTTTTTAAAGTTAATATAAGCATGCAAAAACCTGGAAAGAGCCTCATTTTAATACTTATAATTTTTTGAAGCTGGAATGTTAAAATCACAATGTGAATTTATCAAAGAACTGAAATATCAGGGCAATCAATTAACCCAGAATATAAAGAGAGACACTCCTCCAAGGACAGATGGAACACAAACCCTTGTTTACGTGGGACAAGTGCCAGATGCTATACCAGCCATAAGAAGAGCAATCAGCTAAAATTGTAAACAACTTACTAAAGGCTAGCATGAGTCTATAGAAGCCCTGGGAGTCATAAACACAGGGAAATTCACATCAGTCTCTCATCCCTCTTCCATGAACCTCACCAGGGTCTTCTGAAAGATTAGAGTCACAGATATAGACCAGATAAATCCTGCCTCATGATGTGGGCCTGAATATGAGAGCAGCTACTGCAAGGTAGTAAATCCCAACCACACCTGTCTCCTCTACCTTCTTCCCTGTGTGATTTCTCTAGTGCTCACAAAAATGACTTGAGCTGTTTCAAGCTTTATACCTCACACCACACCATGCAGGACAAGAGACAGGATCGTTTCCCCTATTGTCAAACACAAGAATCACGCATCATGTAAACGATGTCATGTTAGAAAAGGTCCCTGGCCGTGAACCGCCACTCTGAACAAGCATAAGTGGGATCTATACAGTGGTTGGCTTAAATCCCAGATTACCTCCCATCCTTTAGCCTATCACATTGTGAAGGAGGACTTCCCATGATTCCCTTAGGCTGATTGATCAGCCAGATGACTGCTATGCAAATGTGGCATAGTAGCGGATTGAAACCCAAATGGGTTGAAACCAATCATGTCTGACCCAGATAGAAAGACTGCAGCAGTCCCATTCTTTGCTTTCCTCTATTTAATATTTATATTTTCTTTTTTCCCATCACAACTTCATTTTCCCAAAATTTTTATATATGCAGCTGCTTCCAACAGCACCTGGTCTGCCTAGATGTTTCCTTTGCCTTGGGCGCCCCTTCTCAGTTTCCTAAACAAATTAGGGCTAAGTCCCTTTCCCAAAGTTTAGCTCAAATAAGTTACTATACTAGAAAACTGAGAAATAACAAAAAATGAAAATGGCGCAACACAGAATCATGACAAATATTTGTTGAATTAATTCATGAATCCTAAAGCAATTGAAGTCTAGTAATGGATATCTTGACAAATACTTTTATTTGGGGTCAATAGTAAATCGTCATTATTCAAAAATGTTACATTTGCTAATTTACCCACAAAAATTTATGTGTAACCTCCCCACTCCCTGCTGTCCCTCCCCTAACCCCTCCAACTGACCACAGTGTGTGATGCTCCCCTCCCTGGGTCCATGTGCTCTCATTGTTCAACATCTGCCTATGAGTGAGAACATGCGGTGTTTGGTTTTCTGTTCTTGTGTCAGTTTGCTGAGAATGATGGTTTCCAGATTCATCCATGTCCCTACAAAGGACACAAATTCATTGATATTTATGGCTGTGTAATATTCCATGGTGTATATGTGCCACATTCTTTATTGAATCTATCGTTGACAGACATTTGGGTTGGGTCCAAGTCTTTACTATTGTGAACAGTACCACAATGAAAATATGTGGGCATGTCTCTTTATAATAGAATGATTTATAATCCTTTCAAGATATACCCAGTAATGGGATTGCTGGGTCATTTTCTCTTCAGTGACACACTTGTACTATATCTCAGGCATCACGCGTGAGTGTCACTCAAATTCTAATAAACTTGTTGAGTATTCTGCTGGTTTTCCAAAATGCAAATTATAATTCGGTAAATCTAAAGTGAGCTCCAAATTCGACCTTTCTATCAAGCTCCAATGTGATAACTCTGCTACTCGTCTCTGAACCACTGAATAGTAAAGACACGCATCCTGCCTGCATACTTGAAACAGTAAATTAATCTAATAGCTCTCTATAGTTCAGTGACAGTAGGATGAGAGGCAAAATGGTGTTTCTCCTCTGCAGCTAAAACACTATAGAACTAGGAATGTGTAAAACCTCCTCCAAGTGAGAAGACTTTAGACCAGAAAAATATCAAATGACTCAACTACTTCAAAGTACCAGGAGGGAGAGGAATCAGAAAAGACTACAAATTGAGCATACATTCAACAGTTTTATTGAGAACATGTTTCATGCAGGCAAGACCCTTCACCAGGGATACGTAGATTTAAAGCACATGTACTTTGCATTGAAGGAGCTGAAAAATTAGAAGGAAAAGCAGCACCTAAATAACTGCAATGAAGGAGAGGAAGTGAAGAGTACACTCAGCAAATACGACTGAAATGTGGCGGGAGTTCAGAGCAGGGCGAGACTGCTTCCCACGTGTGAGTCAGGGAAGGCCTCTGGAGGAAGGGAATCTAAAAGGGCCTGATGATACATTAGTGGTCGAGCATGTGAAGTTTTCTAGGACCCCATTCCATTCACAGATAAAATTTGAATTTCAAAGTCCCGAAACCCAGGTCAGAACAACAAATCCTGCAAAATTAAATTGAGCTTATATTGACAAATGATCAATAAGCAGTAACAAGCAAAATTAACAAGGAGCGTGGAAACGACGTCATCACCACGACATGGTCAGGTGTGTCCTGAGCCCTTGGGCTGCTGGTTTCTCATCCCAAAAGGAGAACAGTGACGAGAAGGCTCATGACATGTCTTAATGGAAACTGGATGAGAACAGAGATAGAAGTCACTCTGAATAAGGTAGAGGTGAGAATTGAGGAGTAAGAGGGAAGGGGGCTGGGGAGAGAAGAACGGAGGAGAGAGAAACAAGAAACATGGGAAGACAAGTGCAGCGGGAGTAGAAGTAGGAAAGACACATGCAAAGAACTCACCAGCGTTTCCTGAACCAAAGTGCAAGACACACTATCAAAAGCAAAGGCACTATCACCGCCAAGATGATCAAGCCCACGGAATTGTGATGTTCTGAGAATTTGGGGAGATGCCAAGGATGTTATTTTAAATCCACCCCATTTTACCTCATCCACTTCCTGTTTCACTGCATTACCCTGGGCTTCCTTTTTTCAGTTCAGTGTCCACCTTACCAATCTCCTTACATTCTATGTTTTTCTCTCATCCCTGCTCAGAGATGGAGTTTTCATCTAACCCTCAGCATCCTCCTGTGTCTACAGGGCCCTCATTTTCAACACTTGTATTGCTTAGATTACCTGTTTTTATTCATGTTGAGGTTATTATCCCAAGTATCCTAAAATTTTCAGCTTGCCCTCCCTCTATGCTGAGGACCACCTCCTGGCATTTCCAGCCTGAGCCCCAGCTCCTTCTCACCCCAGTAGAGGACGATGTCCTGGCCCTCTAAACTGCTGTGCTTCACCCGACAGGACAGGTCAGCTGCCTCCCCAGCGGCCACCTCCAGGGTTGCTTGGAGATACCATGTCCCATCAGCATTGGGCAGGATGTCCCCTCGCTGAGTGCCCGGCAGCTCCTGCTCACCCTGCATCCACCTCACCCACACAGGCTTTGGGTAGAATCCTGAAACATGGCACACCAGCAGCAGATGGGCAGGGCCTGGACTGGGGCCCAGGGACAGCCAGGCCTCAGGCTTCACTGCAAAGGACAGAAGAGATATTCAGTTACAGACTTGGAGTTTCATGTCACCACATCAGTTTAGAAGTTTACATATACACATCTTTCCCATTTCTCTTTTTATTGAGACAGGGTCTCTGTCACTCTGCTGGAGTGTAGTAGCATAATTTTAAATTATAGCTCATTGTAATCTCAAGCACTTGTGCCCAAGCCATCCTTTTGCCTGAGCCTCTTGAGTAACTGGGACTACAGGTGTGCACCACCATGACCAGCTAATTTATTTTTATTTTTCAGAGATGGTGGTCTCACTATGTTGCTCAGGCTGGACCGGGACACCTGCCCTTAAGTGGTCCTCCAGCCTCAACTTCCCGAAGCACTGGGATTACAGATGTGAGCCACGGCACCCAGCCTCTCCCACTTCTGGGCAGCTCCTCCTTATTCTGAATTTGAAGGGGGTGGTGGCAGGGTATGGTTTTCAAATCAAAAGTTCTTGGAGGAAGGGTATAGGACTCACCTTGCCGCTGGAGATGTGCCTTTCCTGCATCAAGAAGACCCAAGAGTAAACGTGGGCAGGTGTCACTGAAAAGATGGTGTATTAGGTCCTTGTTACGCTGATGCTGATGCACTTTGCAGACACGCTTGGCCGCATTTCCAGCAAGTGGAGATGGCAGGCATGAGTTGTTCTGGAAGCTCATGAAATCTGATCCTTGGTGAGCTACCCGAAAGAAGCTTCCTGAGAGCTTTCCAGAGTACACCTCACAGCCTGCTGTCACCTGTATCTCAAAAGGATCTGGGGTAATGAATTAGAGGAAAGAGGGACAAAAAAACATAAAATGAAATGCGTAGAAGCAAAGATTGTAGAATCAGAAGGGGGGAGTCTTCAGGGTTTGATGGGATGGAATAAAATTTGTTTTGGTCAGGGATTCAGAGAAAGGGGAATTAGTGGGAGCTATAGGTGGAGGAAAAGATTAGTAACATGAGGAAGAGGGAAAATTAAAGACAATGATGTGAATGCTGTAGTTGAGGAAGGGCTTGGTGTAAGAGAACTGGGATTATAACAACTTGAATTGAACGGCACGCAACGGGTTCCAATAAGTCTGTGCGGAGACTGCTGAAGAGAATGAACGATGAAGTGAGAAAGCTGGAGGCATTTAGCTGTATTTAGGCAGATAAAAGCGTAACCATGGGATACCTGTGGAAAAGGTAATAAAGCACAACCCTGCAATCAATGAAACAGGAGTTCACTAGAGGCAGAAGTGTTTGAAGAATTAGGGTCTGGATGATAGACCTTGTGCAAAAGTTTGCAATTGCAGTTTTATGGTGGGAGGAATAGAATAATCTACAGAAAAGGGTCAGGCTGTTTCCTACAGGAATAAGGAACATTGAGACATCCCCTCTCTCCCAACGCTTCAGTCCCCATGGGGGAAACTGTACTCACATTCAAATATTAAGTCACCGGTATGTCTATGAACTGCCTCAGAAAAACGAATGAAGTATAAACGGAATAATGTATCCAGGTCCATCCACTCCTCACTGCTGAAGTTTCCCCTGGACCAGGGCCACAGGAAAATGATGGTGCTGGAATTGCTGTCCCAGGTGTGAGTCTGCAAATCACCCAGCCAACCTGAGCCCAGGTTTCGTTTCCAGGAATGGTTGTAAAAGGATGAGATTTGGATGACTCGGAAGGAGACAGGCTCCTTGAACCCTGTGGTGAAAGTACAGTAGAATGTGACAAAGACATTGAGAAACAGAATGGAGAGAGAAGGTGCCAGAGTGGGGGAATTCAGAATCTGGAGAAGAGGGGATCCATCATAATCTTAGCAGATGCTTGCTTCCCACAGTGTCCCATGCATTATCAAGCACCTTCCTTCATAAGAGCGCGGAGACCTGGAGACATGAACAGTCAGAGTGGAACCAGACTGGCACTCTCACGTTCCAGGTGTGTGCTAGGAAGTGTGCCCACACACACACACACACACACACACACACACACACACACGCACACACACACCCCTTCATGTACCCAATGGGCAGTTGTCAGAGTTCTCAGAGTTCTTACCGTCTGCATTTTCACCACCTGGGAGAACAGCTAGCAATGGAAGCAGCAGAAACAGCATGTCATTTGCAGATGTTACTTCCTTCTCTCACAAAAATTGGTCTTTGATTTCCGTTCCAAACAAAACAACCCCACAGTATCTCTAGTCTGACTTCTTTCTGCAACCAGCAGACAAACCTCCCCTGACTGCAACAAAGAAAATCTGCTTCTTCACAAACCCGGAGACGCCTACTCAGTCTGTCTTTTCCCTCTTGTTCTGACTTTCTTCTCTAGTTTTCAGCTTTTCTCCTTGTCACCAACTTCCAATCGGTTCACGTTCCCCTAATTCAACTTCTCTGGAACAAGTCTTACGTGGCATTGAGAAGCCACTTAACCACTAAGGACATTTTTACCCCATTCATACAATAAAAGCATAAAACTAAATGGCTCCCAGTGTGCTGCCCAATGTTTCCCTGTCCCTGCGCTTTTGATCACTCTGTCCTTTCCAATACTTTCCCATGTATTCGCTTCCCTTGCCTCATCCCCCCCACCCCAATACATACATTTCTGGTTTAGCATCGGTTCTTTTGCTTTTTCAGAATCCCCTGTGACTGTCCTGTGTGACAGTGTAAACTAACACCTTTTCTCTATTATTCTTAGAGAAGAGCCAGTAACCATCACAAAAAAAACACACAGAAGAACTAAAACATATGAAGAAAATGTCCTCTGTTTGATTTTCACTGATATACATTCACTGACCCAACAGTCTCTCTCAGCGCCTGCCTGGAGCCAAGCATCTTGCTACACTGAAGAATGTGAGAGCTTCATGGCTGACAACACAATCGCTTTTTTCTTTCTTTTTTTTTTTTTTTGTATTTCTTTTTATTGCATTTTAGGTTTTTGGGTACATGTGCAGAACATGCAACACAGTTGCATAGGTACACACATGGCAGTGTGTTTTGCTTCCTTTCTCCCCTTCACCCACATTTGGCATTTCTCCCCAGGCTATCTCTCCCCACCTTCCCCTCCCACTGGCCCTCCCCTTTTCCCCCCAATAGACCCCAGTGTTTAGTACTCCCCTCCTTGTGTCCATGTGTTCTCATTTTTCATCACCCGCCTATGAGTGAGAATATGCGGTGTTTCGTTTTCTGTTCTTGTGTCAGTTTGCTGAGAATGATGTTCTCCAGATTCATCCATGTCCCTACAAACGACACAAACTCATCATTTCTGATTGCTGCATAATATTCCATGGTGCATATGTGCCACATTTTCCCAATCCAATCTATCATCGATGGGCATTTGAGTTGATTCCAGGTCTTTGCTATTGTAAACCGTGCTGCAATGAACATTCGTGTGCATGTGTCCTTATAGTAGAATGATTTATAGTCCTTTGGATATATACCCAGTAATGGGATTGCTGGGTGAAATGGAATTTCTATTTCTAAGGCCTTGAGGAATCGCCACACTGTCTTCCACAATGGTTGAACAAATTTACACTCCCACCAACAGTGTAAAAGTGTTTCTGTTTCTCCACATCCTCTCCAGCATCTGTTGTCTCCAGATTTTTTAATGATCGCCATTCTAACTGGCGTGAGATGGTATCTCAATGTGGTTTTGATTTGCATCTCTCTGATGACCAATGACAATGAGCATTTTTTCATATGATTGCTGGCCTCATATATGTCTTCTTTCATAAAGTGTCTGTTCATATCCTTTGCCCAATTTTGAATGGGCTTGTTTGTTTTTTTCCTGTAAATCTGTTTGAGTTCTTTGTAAATTCTGGATATCAGCCCTTTGTCAGATGGGTAAACTGCAAAAATTTTTTCCCATTCTGTTGGTTGCCCATCCACTCTAGTGACTGTTTCTTTTGCCGTGCAGAAGCTGTGGAGTTTCATTAGGTCCCATTTGTCTATTTTGGCTTTTGTTGCCAATGCTTTTGATGTTTTGTTCATGAAGTCCTTGCTTACTCCTATGTCCTGAATGGTTTTGCCTAGATTTTCTTCTAGGGTTTTTATGGTGCCAGGTCTTATGTTTAAGTCTTTAATCCATCTGGAGTTAATTTTAGTTTAAGGGGTAAGGAAAGGGGTCCAGTTTCTGCTTTCTGCACATGGCTAGCCAGTTTTCCCAACACCATTTGTTAAACATGGAATCCTTTCCCCATTGCTGGTTTTTGTCAGGTTTATCCAAGACTGTATGGTTGTAGATATGTTGTGTTGCCTCCGATTCCTCTGTTTTGTTCCATTGGTCTATATCTCTGTTTTGGTACCAGTACCATGCTGTTTTCATTACTGTAGCCTTGTAGCATAGTTTGAAATCCGGTAGTGTAATGCCCCCCGCTGTGTTCTTTTTGCTTAGAATTGACTTGGCTATGCTGGCTCTCTTTTTGTTCCATATGAGGTTCATGGTGTTTTTTTCCAGTTCTGTGAAGAAAGTCAATGGTAGCTTGATGGGGATAGCATTGATTCTGTAAATTACTTTGGGCAGTATAGCCATTTTCACGATATTAATTCTTCCTAACCATGAACATGAAATGTTTCTCCATCTGTTTATGTCCTCTCTGATTTCATTGAGCAGTGGTTTGTAGTTTTCCCTGAGGAGGTCCCTTACGTTCCTTGTGAGTTGTATTCCAAGGTATTTTATTCTCTTTGTAGCAATTGTGAATGGCAGTTCGTTCTTGATTTGGCTTTCTTTACATATTTTATTGTTGTAGAGGAATGCTTGTGATTTTTGCACATTGATTTTATATCCTGAGACTTTGCTGAAGTTGCTTATCAGTTCCAGGAGTTTTTGGGCTGGGGCGATGGGGTCTTCTATGTATACTATCATGTCGTCTGCAAATAGAGACAATTTGGCTTCCACCTTTCCTATTTGAATACTTTTTATTTATTTTTCTTGCCTGATTGCTATGGCTAGAACTTCCAGTACTATATTGAATAGGAGTGGTGAAAGAGGGCATCCTTGTCTAGTGCCAGATTTCAAAGGGAATGCTTCCCGTTTTTGCCCATTCAGTATGATATTGGCTGTTGGTTTGTCATAAATAGCTTTTATTACTTTGAGATATGTTCCATCGATACTGAGTTTATTGAGGGTTTTTAGCATAAAGCGCTGTTGAATTTTGTCAAAGGCGTTCTCTGTGTCAATTAGGATAATCATGTGGTTTTTGTTTTTGGTTCTGTTCATGTGGCGTATTACGTTGATAGACTTGCGTATGTTGAACCAGCCTTGCATCCCCGGGATCCATCCTATTTGATCATGATGAATAAGTTTTTTGATTTGCTGTTGCAATCGGCGTGCCAATATTTTATTTAAGATTTTTGCATCTATGTTCATCATGGATATTGACCTGAAGTTTTCTTTTCTTGTTGGGTCTCTGCCGGGTATTGGTATCAGGATGATATTGGTCTCATAAAATGATTTGGGGAAAATTCCCTCTTTTTGGATTATTTGGAATAGTTTCAGAAGGAATGGTACCAGCTCCCCTTTGTGTGTCTGGTAGAATTCGGCTGTGAACCCCTCTGGACCTGGGCTTTTTTTGTGTGGTAGGCTCTTAATTGCTGCCTCGACTTCTGACATTGTTATTGGTCTATTCATGGTTTCAGCTTCCTCCTGGTTTAGGCTTGGGAGGACAAAGGAGTCCAGGAATTTATCCATTTCTTCCAGGTTTACTAGTTTATGTGCATAGAGTTGTTTGTAATATTCTCTGATGATGGTTTGAATTTCTGTAAAATCTGTGGTGATTTTTCATTTATCATTTTTTATTGCATCTATTTGGTTGTTCTCTCTTTTATTTTTAATCAATCTGGCTAGTGGTCTGTCTATTTTGTTGATCTTTTCAAAAAACCAGCTCTTGGATTTATTGATTTTTTGAAGGGTTTTTCATGTCTCCATCTCCTTCAGTTCAGCTCTGATCTTAGTTATTTCTTGTCTTCTGCTGGGTTTTGATCTTTTTTGATCTTGCTCCTCTAGCTCTTTCAATTTTGACGATAGGGTGTCAATTTTGGATCTCTCCATTCTCCTCATATGGGCACTTATTGCTATATACTTTCCTCTAGAGACTGCTTTAAATGTGTCCCAGAGATTCTGGCATGTTGTGTCTTCGTTCTCATTGGTTTTGAAGAACTTCTTTATTTCTGCCTTCATTTCATTGTTTATCCAGTCAACCTTCAAGAGCCAGTTGTTCAGTTTCCATGAAGCTGTGTGGTTCTGGGTAGGTTTCTGAATTCTGAGTTCTAACTTGATTGCACTGTGGTCTGAGAGGCTGTTTGTTATGATTTCAGTTGTTTTGCATTTGCTGAGCAGTGCTTTACTTCCAATTATGTGGTCAATTTTAGAGTAGGTGTGATGTGGTGCTGAGAAGAATGTATATTCTGTGGATTTGGGGTGGAGAATTCTGTAAATGTCTATCAGGTTTGCTTGCTCCAGGTCTGAGTTCAAGACCTGGATATCCTTGTTGATTTTCTGTCTGCTTGATCTGTCTAATATTGACGGTGGAGTGTTAAAGTCTCCCACTATTATTGTATGGGAGTCTAAGTCTCTTTGTAGGTCATTAAGAACTTGACTTATGTATCTGGGTGCTCCTGTATTGGGTCCATATATGTTTAGGATCGTTAGCTCTTCTTGTTGTATCCATCCTTTTACCATTATGTAATGGCCTTCTTTGTCTCTTTTGATTTTTGTTGCTTTAAAGTCTATTTTGTCAGAGATGAGAATTGCAACTCGTGCTTTTTTTTGCTCTCCATTTCCTTGGTAAATCTTCCTCCATTCCTTTATTTTGAGCCTTTGTGTATCCTTGCATGTGAGATGGGTTTCCTGTATACAGCACACTGATGGGTTTTGGATTTTTATCCAATTTGCCAGTCTGTGTCTTTTGATTGGTGCATTTAGTCCATTTACATTTAGGGTTAATATTGTTTGTGTGAATTTGATACTGCCATTTTGATGCTAGCTGGCTGTTTTGCCCATTAGTTGTTGTAGATTCTTCATTATGTTGATGCTCTTTAGCATTTAGTGTGATTTTGGAATTGCTGGTACTGGTTATTCCTTTCTATGTGTAGTGCCTCTTTCAGGAGCTCTTGTAAAGCAGGCCTGGTGGTGACAAAATCTCTGAGTACTTGCTTGTTCGCAAAAAATTTTATTTTTCCTTCACTTCTGAAGCTCAGTTTGGCTGGATATAAAATTCTGGGTTGAAAGTTCTATTCTTTAAGGATGTTGAATATTGGCCCCCACTCTCTTCTGGCTTGTAGTGTTTCTGCCGAGAGATCTGCTGTGAGTCTGATGGGCTTCCCTTTGTGGGTGACCCAACCTTTCTCTCTGGCTGCCCTTAATATTTTCTCCTTTATTTCAACCTTGTT